TTTAAAACTTTGAAAGCAAAAAACAAATACGGCCACCTTTGGCACGCACAGCTGTCATCGCCCAGCAGGGCGATAGAAATAAATCTATCGCCATGAAACGCCGCCAAGCGAACTTCGCATTTCGCTTTGGCTGTGTTCAATTTCATATGCTTGCGGGTGTTCTAATTTTGACAGCGCGAATTTCGCTGTGGTGAGTTCGCCGTTCGCCGGCATTGTATTTCAGCTATGACCCAGGCGGCAACGCGCATGACTGAATTGGTAGCGCGTCGGGAAGAGTAGGGAGGAGAATAGCTGCCATCGACGAAAGCGATATGTTACCAATTTGTTATGCATGCAGACGCAGCATTGGAGGAGTGCGTAAATCGAATACGTACAAGTCAACGCACCTACCAACTACATATGTACTTATGTATACGTATGTACGTATGTGTGTGACTAGATATTTTTCTTTTTTTTTTGCATGAGAATTTCAAGCTGTCGGCGAAATTGTCACGCACTTTTGGCCACTTATACACAATATAAATTGAACATTCCTTCATTAGTATTTGGTTTATCGCTTGGAATGTGTTTGGTTTTGAATTTCAGCGTTGAAATCGTTGGAAAGTGTTAGAAACGCTGTATATAAGTGCATAGATTGCTTATAAAGATTTTACGATGCGCTAACGGCAAAAGAAATTTGGGTAGATTTATTATTCGTTTTCAGTTACTCAACTTACTTTGCTTGTGCGTGTGAAATTTTGTAGCTGATATTGGTCACGCATTGATTGGAAATCCTCCTCACTACATCCACATATCCATACCGTAGTCAATTTGTTGAAAAGTGTAACCAAGTGTTGAAGAGAAAAACTAGAAATTACAAGGTTTGAAATTACAGAGAACTTGATGATGAAGCGGCAGAGGTTTAAAGGAGGACATGCACCTGTAATATTCGATTAATTAATGGTGAAGGTGTTGGTTGATGTTCTCGTTATAGCACCCTAGAGCTGGGTTGGACGATGGAAGATAAGAAGAACTTAGAACCAGCTGTGAAAGCTCCTACGTACATAAGTTAGATGTAGGGCTTGTAGCGAAGGGAAGACTTCCATCGCCAAGTACTGTCAATCCGGTCAACGTTCCTTCAAAATGTCGTACTGTTTTCGTTCACACCCATAGGTAAAGTAGAACAATTGGCACTGATGCCGCTTCTTTGGCATTTGGATCATAATTAAATGCGCTGCTCGTGCCACGAAACCTTCGCTAAAAAATTAAGCCATACCCTATTTGCCTATTTTAATAAAACTACCAGCTTTATATAGTTGGCTCCGCATCGAAAAAGTATATCACATGGGGGACCCCTTTTGAGCATTTTTTTTGATCAGTCACCACTATTAGTGCCAGAAAAAAGGCTAAACGGCCAGGCTTAACGGCCAGGAAAACAAAGCCAAGAGAGCTAGCTTAATAGATGCAAGCTATTAATTCATATATTTTAGTCGTTATAATTATTTCATAGTTTTTTAACTTTTCGTCGTAAAATTTGACATTATTTAGCAAAGTGTTAAGTAGACAAAAAATTTATATTAAAAAAAGCGTTTCGTTGGATGACAACTTTCGACGTGAATGAACACAACAACAGTGCAATATTGAACTGAAATACCAAGTTGGTATAATGCTTTGAAACGTGGTCACATTTCGCCAGCCAATGAACGCCGAGTGTGTCGTCCAATATCGATCGGTGCGAGGCGGTATATACTTGCTGAAGGCTGAGCTCTAGCAGATTTACTGGACCCGGAATGCCCAAGACGCACATTGACGAACCCTCAGGACGACACGAACTTGCTGACGTATAGATCCTAACGTATGGGACCCCAATCTTCA